CAACGCAGGTGTATCTCCTCCACCGACGTGGGGTTTACCCCCCGCTGCCGACAGACCAAGAGGATCAGAAGCTGCAGCATCAGAGCCAGTTATACCAGCACATCTGTCCGCCAATTTCCCTTCCCCAGACCTATCTGCACTGTAGACGCAAAGGAGGCCCTCACCAGCAACACAAACCCACAGCCTCCCCTTCTAGCCAGAAAGCTCTTGTCTGAATCAGTTGCCCTGCACTGAAAAAAAAAGAGAAATGCTGACCTTGTCCCATCTTACCTGGGTGACTCTTACAGATCTGTAGGCATAATTTGCCAGTAACTCCACTGCAAGAGAGAAAACAAACTGTTATACCCAAGGGCAATGCTCCCTCTAAGCTGTGGAGTCTTGTGAGCAAAGGTTCTACTTTGTTAGTTGCTGGCGTTACAGTTGTGAGCGAGCGATTTGGCTACTGCATCGATTAGTTTGCTCCGGAGCCATTCTTCCTGAGCTAAGACAAAAATGTGTGAGCCGGAGGCTAAAAAGCTGTGAGCTAGCTCACACTAACTCAGATTAGAAGGAACACTGCCCAAGGGTTTTTTTTTTTTAAAGGGTATCTCTATCCCACTTTTCTGAATAAAGAACACCCAAAGACTCTCCTACATTATATTAAGGAAAAACAATACCCTGAATTATTGTATGCAAAGAGAACCAACTTCCGCATGGAATATAAATTGGGCAAAGAAGAAATCCTTTTTCTTTTGTCTATACTTACTCAGATAAATCTCATGTTGAAACAGAAGACACAGAAGCATGTACAACAAAGTTTGAGTCTAGTGGCACCTTTAAGACCAGAAAGGTTTTATTCTGGGTATAAACTTTCATGTGCAAGCACACTTCTTCAGAGCATGCACATGAAAGCGTATACCAGGAATTAAACTCTGTTGGTCTTAAAGGTGCCACTGGACTCAAACATTGTTCTTCTTCTTCAGACCACATGGCTGCCCACCTGGATCTAACAGTACAACAGTAAGGGTGTACAAGGACAGCAGCATGAGTACAGATTTGCACCCCACTGATTTAAGGCAGCATAAATGGATTTCTCTCTGCTCTGTCCTCACATCAATGCTGCAAGGTTAATTTTAGAAAGCAACATTTTTAGAAAATTTTAGAAAGTGCAATTGGCCTACAGACACCCACTGAATTTAAAGGCTGAGTGGACATTTTTGTCCAGGCCTTGGTCTGTTCAACAACACACAGTGAGCTGCGTTGGATACATTTCTGACTGCGTTATTCAAATTCTACATATATATTTCGCACATACAAAAAAATCTGTTCCCTATTCTAAAACCTACCTGACCATTATCAGTTACAAATTTATATTTTATACAGAAATATGCCAACCACCATTTCACCATCAAAGGCATATCAAGCAAACTGCCAGCATCATAGACAGAGGTTGGTGTAGTTCTCTGCAACAGTGAGGACTTGAAACTTATTTCTGAAACAATGAACAATTATAGAGACAGCAGAATCCTGGAATATAAAGAACCACTGGAACATACAGCTTAGATCAGACACAGTGAAAAGGGGGCTCTAAAAGTCATTTATGGTGCCAGCAGTGAAGTTTTGCTGATAGGTGACAATAATTCTTACCTTGTGTCCGTGAACACTTCTTATCAGTGATAAGAGTCTTAGGTCCCCTGCCAAGAATCACCATCACACCATCAGGCAGATGAATTGGATCATGGCGTTGGTCTTGGCTGATGAGGAGACACCGCATCATTCTGGGTACCCTACAAACAAAAATAATTGTTCATGGATACAAATAGCACCGAATCCTGCACAGTTCTTTCCCCAATCAGGTCTCCGAAGTTGTTTTTGCAACCTCAAGGGTGACGTGTTTTCAGTTAAGGCAAAGAGAAATGTGTCTCAGGCAAGGAAGAAACCCTAAACGTTGGGAGAGGGAGGACTCTACCTTATGAGGAACCCCTGTGACTAGCATGGGCTGATACTTCAAACATAAGGGAAAATTCCGCTTCTGAAAGGATCCTCCTATCCAAGCACAGGCGCTGCACCCAGTTTTAAAGCATCCCCAACTATCACCCCCAAGAAGGTTATTTAGCCCAGCGTGACAACCGACTGCACAACTAGGAAGCATAGGAAGCTAGACTAGCGGTGTTGCACCTTTAGTAGTTCCAGCCGGAAGTAGACTTTATTTCCTCTCCAAGCCAAAACACTATCCAATTAATACCTTTATTACGACCAACCCAATGACAAGGTCAAGTCGGAATGCTTCCAGTCGAGATAAGAACAAGACTCCCCAACCCAAATTCCATGTGCAGGGAAAACACAGATAGCCAAAAAAAGTCACACCGTGAACTTCCGGTGAAAGATTGGATGGCTGCTGAGCGTGCCGCTCTAGGCCTTGGGCACTTTATGGTGAACCCCTTTCGTACTCTGAGACGGGGAAACTTTCCCAGTTTTAGTCTGGAATAAATCCAGCGCTGGTGTGTGACTTTTATAGAGAGTGTATGGAAAGGATGCAATCTCACACACGCGGCTTGGTTGATGATTCCAGGCTTGTTAAATCTGTACTTCTTCGGGTATGACGGTACTTCTGTAGCACTTTTGAAAAGTGTTCCGATGCTGCCCACGAGGTCTTTGATTGTGGTTCCGGATGTTTTAGTTCCCAACTCTTTACCGGTAACTGCTGGAGGAGGAGTAACTGCTCGAGATAATTGCAGGAGGAATAAAACTTTGTTGGCCTTGAAGGGGCCACTGGACTCAGACTTTGTTCGGCTGGAGGAGGCAGAATTGTAGAGAAAACAAAACGACCGCCCCACACCCCGTCGGAATGCAGCTCAGGAGGAATCTGCAGCGATGGAGAGCCGACGGGCCAGAAGAGGCGCGGCAAAAAAAGTTTTATTTGCTTCCCAGTAGCCGTCTGTTTCCTCAAGGATAGTGTAAAAGCAGACCCCATATGGCAAAATCAATTGGTAACCAGAAGTTATTTACATACTTAGAGACATCTTGTTCTGAAGGGAATCCATAGGAATGCTACAAGCTAATGCTACAAGCAACCAGTTGAGCAGGTCAGAAACCACCTAACGTAATTTCCATCGTAAGCGTGCCTGTATAATATTTCCAATAGAGGGTCTACAAGCATGCAATTTAGTAGCCCAGCCGTTGACTGGCTACTACTATTTATTTAAACAGCTGTTTTCTTCCCGGGGGGAGGGGGCAAAGTAGCCTACAGCATCACACGCCCCTTCATTTTTGCTTAATTAAAGCAAATGCAATGAAGAGTTACCGAATCTCTTTTTCTAACAGCATTTGCTTTAAGTAGTAACCAGTTGAGCAGGGATGCCAGCCTCCAGGTGGGACCCGGGGAGCCCCTGGAATTATAACTCATCTCCAGACTACAGAGATTAGTTCTCCTGGAGTAAATGGATGCTTTGGAGTGTGGACTCTATGGCATTGGACCCCACTGAGGTCCCTGTACTCAGGCTCCATCCCCAAATATCTAGGTGTTTTCCAGCCTGGATCTGGTAGCCCTAATCCCAGGGCTACTCATCTTCAGCAAGACTGCATAAACCTTGTGCCTTTCAACTTTACCCTGGAACCTGTGACAGTGTCACAACCTTCAACAGGGTTCTTAAAATGCCAAAGAGAAGAGCAAAGCTTCTAGGTCTATAACAATCATGTGTAGAAGAGGAAATTAAGACAGGGGCTGTTTTGTGTTTTGTAGCCTTGTAGGAATGAGAAAAGCTTATTCCTCTTCCAAACAATTATTCTAGGTACAGAAACCAATGAGGATTTTCTGGAGATCTTAAGAAATGCACTTTCTCTCCCTTGTTATTAACCATTTGGAAAAACTGGAATGGTTCATTTTTAAACTTGGGGAGAAATTCACTGTGGTGATCCTTGAACTCTTGTTCAAAAACATTAGAGACTTTTAGAATATTTTTATTAATACTTTAATAAAGTTTTGTCAATAAAGTTTAATCTATTACAAAACCATTAAAATGTTTAAAACATCTGTTCACTTTCATTCAGTTATTTGCTACAGTTTCAAAAAATAAAATAACCTTATAATTTCAAAAATTTTCTTTAGCAGCATGAGAAAAAGTTCTATTTCTTAAAGCAAGCACAGCTGGGGATATTGAGGGGGGAAATGGAATCCTTTCTTGCATGTTTTGACTTGTAAATGGAGGGAGGGCACAGCCCTCAAGACAAGATTCCATTTTTGTTCCTGCAAAAACTCCACCATGTCTCACCTAACAAATATTACTGTATCCCAGACAGAGTTTTCCTTTCCATAATCCATGCATTCGTATCCATATGGGACTTTGCCTTCGAATGCATAATAGGAAGCTTTTTCAATTAACAGGGCAATCCTATGGGCAGTTAAAGCTTTCTAAGGTCACTGACTCAGCCCTGGGCTGTGCTTATGAACCAGAAATCACCACCCTTGTTGAAACTACTCAACCCAGTAGAGAATCCAGTGGTATCTTTTTGTCTTTTTTTAAAAAAATGGCATTTCAAGTTGAGTGTCTCTGAGCATTTGCAGAACCTTCTTCCATCTGGTTAGTTAAAGTAAACCATGTTGAAATCCCAGCACACCATAAAATTCACTGGATTGCCTTAGGCTGCTCAACCTAGCCTACCTCACAGGGTCATTGTCCTTCATCAGACATGAGTAAGAACTGAGACCTCTAAGTCTTTTTGTCTCAGTCAGAAGGTAGAAGGGATGTTGTAAAGAATGCTTGTACAAAAGAAGAGGAGGAGGAGGAGATTGGATTTATACCCCGCCCTTCACTCAAGAGTCTCAGAGCGGCTGACAAACTCCTTTCCCTTCCCCTCCCCTGTGCTGAGAGAGCTCTTGACAGAAACAGCTCTTTCAAGGACAGCTCTGACAGAACTTGCCCAAGGTCATCCAGCAGCTGCAAGTGGAGGAGTGGGAAATCAAACCTGGCTCTCCAAGATTAGAGTCCGCACACTTAATAAAGGTACAGTTTACGTTCTTTACAAGGCCCCTCCCACCTTCTGACCAAGATAAAAAGTCTCAGAGGTCTCCATTTGTATTTGCGTCCAATGAAAGGAGCTTTGACTCTCGAAAGCTCGTACCCTGAAAGTCTTCTTGGTCTCTAAGGAGCTACTGGACTGGAATCCAACCCTTCTGCTGCAGACCACCATGACCACCCTCTTGAAATGAGGGCCATTGTGAGGAGGGGAAAGCCACGTACGTTGCCTTGAACTCCTTGGAGGGTGAAAATGTACTTAAGCACATAAATCTGAAGAGCCATGTTCTTAATCATGCACAAAGTGTCATTCTTTTGTGATGGAAATGCTCCCTGGTTTGTCTGGAAGATTGTGTAGAACAGGGAGGGGCATGACTTCAGCTTTGTATGGTCCTTTAAAAAAAAAAAACACAAGGAAACCCTCTACTGATGTGTTTATACTTTACAGAAAAAGCCACTTTTGGGCTCTCTTAGCTGTCAAAGCATCACTTTAGTCTGTGTTGAATGATCCTGAGCATACCCTTTGGCTTAACAGCATCGGAAGCACCATGCAGCATCACAGCTGCCTTGAGTCTATTTAGTCCAACCAGCTCTTGGCTAAAACCTCAACAACCAGTAGGCACTAAAGCTCCACCGGCAAGTGAGCTGTGGTTTAACAGCAGACATAATATATCACGATCTGCCTTCTGCATGTTCCTGCTCTGGAGTAAGCACACTGCTCTTTCAGTCAGCTTGTTTGCTTGGCATAGTAGTGATGGTTCGGCTGTTGCGCTAGCTGAGAAGTAGCCAGGAATGAGGTCATTCAGTCGGGGGAGGGGTAGCAGCACAGCCTGTCTGCCTAAAGGGATAAAGGTAAAGGTTTCCCTTGCTCGAGAGCTAGTCGAATCCAGGTCTAGGGGGTGGTGTTCATTTCCATTTCCAAGCCGAAGAGCCAGCGCTGTCCGAAGTTGTTTCCGTGGACATGTGGCCGGCGTGACTAAACGCCGAGGCACATGGGACACTGTTAACTTCCCATTTATCTACTTGCAATTTCTTGCTTTCGAACTGCTAGGTTGGCAGGAGCTGGGGCCAGAGATGGGAGCTCACTCCATCATGTGGTACTCGGGTCTCAAACTGCCAAACTACCCACCGTCCAATCTGCAGTTCAGCATCCCAAAGACAGATTTTGTTAAATACAGTAAGTTTAACTAAAAGAGCCATCTGCTGCTAATTCATATACAAAATGCAATTATTGTTCTTCTTCTCTGCCCTCCCCCCTTTTATTTGCATTTATAGACATACAAAGTTATTAATCTCACTACATTCATTCTCCCAGCAATCCTGTGAGGTAGACTGTGCGTATTCTCACTGCAGAAATACAAGAAACAGCTTAGGGAGTTCTTCGTTGAGTCAAAACTCAGAAGCAAAATTCTCTCCACAGGCTCTGGAAGAAGTCTTTCCTTCATCCCAAATATGAGAAGGCCAGAATGGTCCAACAGCAGCAAGATTTCATGGTTCACGCAATGGTTCCCATTCCCCTTTTTGAGGTTGCTCGCATACAGACAGGTTTTTGTGTAGAAGGCAGGAGGACTCGAGGCTGTATCTTGTGCCACTGCAAAGGTTGACAAGATTAAGATATCTTGGGGCAGTGAAGAATCCCAAGTTTCTATCCCTCACCGGTCATAAGGTCTGGGGTGGCCTAGGCTGTGCCCAGTTATCTCAGGTTCATGATAAGACACATCTGGATTCTGAGGATGCGACAGGTGACTTAAGCACTGTACCCTCTGGAAATGAAGAACGGCTCTTCGTGGGGTAGCGTGGACAATCAGTCTGTAAGGAAAAAGATCCACATATGAATTTGGGATTGTGGTTGCTGACGATGCCACAAGAGGGCACGGCACCTTAACTTGCTCACCAAATTGTGTGTAGCTGTCGGAAGAGGAGATGAAACACTGGCTGCATCCATAAGGTAAAGTTTCTCTGCTTGCCTGTCATGGGTGCAGGGAATGAAGAGTCAGAGCGAGCCCACCCACTAGGACGCATTAGGCAATTTACCAAAGGTGCCAGAGGATGGGTGGGTGGGTGCTAGGGGCACTAAATGCAAGCAGCCATCCAATGTCCTGGCTGCAGCACCACTGC